GTACATGGAGGGATGGATACAAGGTAGAGGTAACTATCGGGAGGAAGTGGGGAGCTGTTGCATTGGGGTAAATTGTAGTCAATGTTATGAGACAAAGTGTATGTGAACCACTGTATAGAAAGTGAATTTGCTCTGTAAACTTTCACCCAAATCACAATATAAATAAAAAGTCAAGGAAAGGTTCATACTTAATAAGTGAATGCTCTTACAAACAAAATCTTACAGTTTAGGAGACTGGAAATCTGAATTGAGAGCAATGGTTGGTGGAGGCTCTCTCTCTGTAGCCTCTGGGCACACATCCTTGTCTTAGCTTCTCTAGCCCACCATTCCTGGAATTCCTGGGCTTGCAGACAGGTCTGTCTCTATCACCTTCAGACAGTGTCTGTCTTCCTACTGTCTTCCTTCTTTTATGCCAAATTTGTTCTTTATATGTCTCAAAAGTATATACCTTCATTAATATGGCTCATTAATGTAACAAAGAAAGCCGTATTTCCAAATGGGATTACATCCACAGGTATGTTGTTGTTAGGTATCCTCGAGTCAGGTCAGACTCAGAGAGACCCTATTTACAATAGAATGATACACTGCTTGGTTTTATGCAATCCTCACAATCCTTGCCATGCCTAAGCCCACTGATGCAGCCACTTTTTTTGCTGACTTTGTACTTTACCAAGCATGATGTCCTCCTCAAGGACTGTTCCCTTCTCATAATATGACCAAAGTACATGAGAAAAAATCTTGCCATCCTCACTTCTAAGAAACATTCTGACTGTACTTCTTCCAAGACAGACCTGTTCATACTTCTGACAGGCCACTGTACATTTAATATTCTTCTCCAACATCATAATTCAAAGATGGTCTTCTTCAGTCTTCCTTATTCATTGTCTGGCTTTTGCATTCATGAGGTAACTGAAAATACCATGGGCTTGGGTCAGATGCACCTGAGTCCTCAAAGTGACACCATTGCTTTCTAATACTTTAAAGAAGTCTTTTGCAGCAGATTTGTCCAGTGCAATACAATGTCTAATTTCTTGACAGCTACTTCCATGGGCACTGACTGTGGATCCAAGTAAAATGAAATTCCTGATGACTTCAATCTTTTCCCCATTTATCATGATGTTGTTTACTGGTCTAGTTGTGGAAACTTTTTTTTCTTTATGTTAAGGTGAAGTCTACAGTCTTTGATCTTCATCAGTAAGTGCTTCAAGTTTTCTTCATTTTTAGCAAGCAAGGTTGTATCATCTACATATCTCAGGTTTTGAATGAGTCTTCCTCTAATTTTGATGCCTTAGTCCTCTTTTTATAGCCTAGCTTCTCAGATTATTTGCTCAGTATACAACCACAGGAATAGGAACTAGGATTTATAACACATTATTTTTGGTAAACACAATTCAATCCATAACAGAAAGCATTCAGTCTTTCAACATGAAGTATGATGATACCTGTGGATTTTTCATAAATGCCAGTTATGATGCTGAGGAAGATCCCTTCTATTCTAAATTTATTGAGTAATTTTTATCATGAAAGGTGATGAATTCTGTCAAATACTTTTTCTACATCTTTTGAGATAATCATGTGGTATTAACTTTTACTCTATTCATATGATATATATTGATGTATTATACTGATACATTTGATAAATTTTCATATGTTGAACAACCTTGAATATGTGGAGAAATCCAGCTTGGTCATGGTGTCTACACTCTACATATTCCTGGATTCACTTTGCTAGTATTTTTTGAGGACATATAAGTCTATATTCATAAAAGACATTGGTCTGTAATTTTTTTTTTCCCTTTTGTTATTTTTGTGTAACTTTGTTATCAGGATAATATTGGTCTTATAGAATAAGTTGGGAAGTGCTCCTTCATCTCCTATCCAGTGGAAAAGTTTGTGAAGAATTGGTATTAATTGTTCTTATCTTATTTCATGGAATTCACCAGTGTAACCATCTTCTCCTGGGTGTTCCTCTGGAAAGTTTTTTCATTACTAATTCTCTTTCTTCGGAAGTTATAGGTGTTGTGGTAGTTAAGGCTACATGTCAACTTGGCTGGGCCTGGTTTTGAATAGCTGGGCAGCTGGACGTAGTTATTCTCTATGGTGAGATTGTGCAAAAACGACGAGGAGGCCACATGTTCTGACCTCCTCTAACCCTACAAGAGGAAGACAGGATTACCAGCAGTAACCCAAGGCCTATTACTGCAAGGCCAGACATGCTGCCTCCCTCCAGCCCTTTCACCAACCGTTCCGATCCCAAAGCATCTACCACCT